TTTCTCTGGTGGTTATACGTGGAAACCGCCAGCGAAAATATAACAAGGGGTGAGAGGCTACGGATGCCAGCGAAAATGGATCTTCGCTAGCGGCCGGATTAAGAGGCCCACTAGCAAAGATACAATTATTTTTGCTGGCGGACCTCTTAAGTAACAACTAGCGAAAATGGATTTTCGCTGGTGGTTGGCTAAGAGCTCCAGCAGAAACGCCATACAAGCGCTAGGAAAAACCTACATAGCCTATAAAAGATATCTATCTATAGGAAAATCCCACTCATCTCTCTCTCCACTCTCGATCCCTCCTCCCTTATCCTTATCCCCTCCCAGCTCTCTCTCTCTCTCTCTCTCTCTCTCTCTCACTCTCTCCACTCTCGATCCCTCCTCTCCCAGCTCCGGGCGGCGGTGCTCCCAGCAGGCGGCGGCTCGCGGCGACGCTGCGCGGGCGGATCGAGGCGGCGATGCACGGGCAGGTTGTGGCGGTGGCGCTTGGGCAGCCCACGACGGTGGATCCGGCGACGAGAAGGCGTGAGACGGTGGATCCGGCGGCGGCGTTCGGAGGCAGATCTAGCGGCGGCAACTCCATTCGGCGGCGGATCCACCGCTGCCTAGTCCTAGGTCTTTCTCCCCCGCCCCTCCCTCGTCCCCTTCCCCCGCCGCCACCACCCACCCCCTCTCCCTCTCTCAGATCTGGCGCGCGTGCCACGGTGGAGGCTACGGTGGGGCTCTGCAGCGGCGGTGGCGAGGCGGAGGCGGTGGAGGCCGACGGGGCTCGGCAGTGGCGTCGTCGAGGTGGAGGCGGTGGAGGCTGACGGGGCTCGGAAGCGGCCCGTCGGCAGCGGCGGCGGTGATGGTGGAGGGGACTTCAAATTTTTGTTAATGTGTTGATTTTTGTGATGCTTGAATGCTTGGGTGAATGGAAATTTTTTACTGTAAATTATTGATGTAAATTTCTGTGGATTTTTGAATGCTTGGGTAAATTTTTGTGAAATTTTTGAATGGTGGAGCGTTGTCGGATGCGGACGGAGCGGTGTCGCTCCATCTGTCGATTTTTTTTTTGTTTAAACTTGGATAGTATTATCACTGGCGGCTAGCACAGTGTAACCCACCAGCGAAAATGGATCTTTGCTGGCAGCTGGCTTAACACGGCCGCCAGCGAAAATGAATTATCGCTGGCTGTCGATAACCGCTAGCAAAGATCTTGATCTTTATTGGCCTTTGCTTTGTGGCGGCTCCAAATTCCGCCAGCGAAAACCCAAAATGGCCGCCACGAAAGATGGTTTTTGTAGTAGTGCTTTGCCCTAGCCAGTAGTCACCTATAGCTAGGCTACTTTGGAATTTGTACTCTATTTTGTATCTTGGATGTCCTTTTGTGTCAAATACAAATATTGTATGATATTTATTGCATTTAGTTATCTTTATCGAGCATCTCTATCCCATCTTTTTTTTAAAGTTGTTTTTATCACTTTCGATTACATCAACACAACTAGGTGGATGAAGGCCAAGTTTTCTATAGAAACATGATCAATGATCTGCCAATCTAAATTAGAAGGGCCTGAGTTCCGTTAGATATATTTGCTTTTAACAGTTGCAATGCCTTCAATTGAGAGAGAGTGGGGGGGTGGGGTTATAATGCCTTAGCTATCTAACTCTAAGGTATTTGTAGTCCCCACGGACTTCATATATAATGTAGGGAAATAATTAAATAGTAGGGAACATGTAGGATCATGTGATGATTAATCTTGGTGATGAACAATTGTCAAATACGAGTGTTTGTTGAAAATACGGTGAAGAGTGTTATATGTCGGTGAACAGTGCGTCGACACTGGGTGGCCAGTCAGACCAAGCAGTGGGCGTCGGTCACACCCAGTGGCGGAGCCAGAATTTTTCTAAACCTAGGACCCAATTAGTTGTATGTATATAATTTTGCCTTTATCTTCTAGTTTTTGAAGTTTTAAAATGGAATTTCAATGAATATTTAGGATCAGAAAGTAGGGCTGCAGCCCTAGCTGCCCTACTCCTGTCTCCGCCCCTGGTCACACCGAAGGTGTCTGGGCGGTCTGACTGGGTAGCCCGATGATCAGATCAACAGACTCCGAGAGGAAGTCAGTTTCGAGTTGTTTTCATGGAATTTATAGATTGCTTCATGTTTGTAATTTCTAGATGGTTTCTATTCGTATGTGATACTCTTGTGTGTTGATGTGTGAGTCAAGTGGTGCGAGCTTGTACTCACATATGGTGTTTCTTTGTTGTTCATGTGCAGGTGTTGCTTGAGGCATAGGAGTATAGCCAATGATGGATCGGGACTAGGCTTAGGAGAAGTTGAGGTCTAGATGGTAAGTATATCATGCGGGATGCTCAGTCTAGAGAATAATGCACGTGGAGGTGAATGATTTCATATGGCATACACGTGGTGTTGTGTGTATGGAAAGATAAGTCAAATTTGGATTAAAGTCCAAGTTTAAAAAGATTGGACTGTGGAGTTGTATGGGGATCTTGTTTCCCTGGTTTGGTAGGTTTTCTATATAATTAGGAGTCCTAGTTCTAGTTGGATTCGTGGCTAAGGGCAACCATGTTGTAGTTATAAATAGAAGAGAGGTTGAGACTAGAAAATATCGACTTTTTGGGGAAAAAAGTTAGGGCTTTCTTTGAGGTTTCAAATCTAATTCATGAATTGAGAGATGAGTGCTTTAGATGCACTTTGTAAACATATATTGATGCAATAAAGTTAATCTACTTTCAAGAGTTTCGTCGATACATGTTTTTCTGGATTCCAATGGTCAGACCGGAATCTAGTGAGCGGTCTAACCACCAGGACTACACTGGTATAACCGGCGGCGAACAATCAATCAGACCGGCGACGGTGAGAAGGCAACGGACAAGGAGACAGCGGTTTGATCGGCCAGACAATATCTGTCTGACCGGTGCAAAGGTGAGGTCAGATTAGCGTGCACATGGTGATCAGACCGCTTACACCGAGACTTCATCAGGTTAGAGGGTAAACTTCTATTTTCGCTAAAACTTTTGGCAACCCCTATAGTAGATTTGGTTTCTTATGTTCGATCTTGCAGAACATTAAGATTTATAGTAATATGGATGTAAACAAATTAATTAGTGGGGCATCAAGAAATTGTTATCACAGAGAAAAAAACTTGAACACTATTCCCTCTGTTTCAGGTTATAAGATGTTTTGACTTTGGTCAAAGTCATACTGTTCTAAGTTTGACTAAGTTTATAGACAAATATAGTAATATTTATAATACTAAATTAGTTTCATCAAATCATAATTGAATATATTTTTATAATAAATTTGTCTTGGGTTGAAAATGTTACTACTTTTTTCTATAAACTTGGTTAAACTTAAAACAGTTTAAGTTTGACCAAAGTTAAAAACGTCTTTAACCTAAAAAGGAGAGAGTACCCAAATTCCCCCCCCCCCCAAAAAAAAAAGCTTTAATTAGCTAGTCATGTAATACCCATATGGAGAATTAATGTTATATTAATTACCTCGTGCAGAACATATTCATTTTCTCCTCCTCCCTTCATTCTATATATTTCTCTTAGAAAAACTCTATTTGTAACCTGCACCTGGTTACTAGCTTCCAAAAAGGGAAAATAAGAGTGGAGAGCATATCAACAAGTCAACAGTCAGGCTCGCCGGAAATCCATCTTAAAGGACGTTAGCATGATCAAATAAGACAAACTTAGCTAAAGGTAATCATAATGGAAGGCACATGCGTTTGAACATCAGATATCATTGTGTGCTAAGCACCGATAAATCTAATGATGATCACACCAACCCTAAGCTGAGACACAATGGCATTATTAGTGACACATTTAATCTGTAATTTTGTTCTGCCTTTAGCCAAAAGAGGTAGTGCTACCTTTTCTATAGAAAAACTTGAACTAAGACTTACCTTAATTAATTTGAAGGGTTAATTTTTTTTTAAAAAAAAAGAAATAATAAAAACGGCTCCATCTTATATTAGTCCATCCCAACAAGAAAGGGAAGATTTTGGCGGCATTAGTATGCTGTTTTTGAGTGAATTTTACTTCGGACCATAATTATTAACCATACTAGTTTTCTCTACTGGACTAGGATAAGTCTAACGTTCCACTTAACACCACATGTAATTACTATTATTGCACTTTGAACTAAGATTTACAGTTTGGGCCTTCATCCCTACTTCAGCAAGTAGTCTCCTTTCCATTTTCACCAACATCAACTTGTACTGGCTGTCTGCAGACCCAGATCGATTAGCCCTCAATCCTTGTGAATTCATGTGACATGCCTCTGTGGACTATGGGTCCATCCTCTAGCGATCTAGCCGCCCGGAGCCTACAGTACCAATGCCACTATTATCTTGCCGGCTGCCGCGCTTCTTGATCGATCGAGTTGCTTTATCTGCAATATATATAACCCAAAGATTGAAGTGCATCCCTAAACATATTGAAGTGAGTCACCAGAAAGATATCCCAGTTGCAAGGACGACATTGACAGGGTCGCCGTAGCAAATTGGACAGGCACGTTGGTTTGGTTGTGACTTTAATCACAACGGTCCAGGGGATGCAAGTAGGACGGAAAGAAACAACAAAAATGTGCTGCCTAGGGATACCGCTGAAAATTACTCCAACCATTTTGCCTAGTGTACCGTACAAGGGTGCTGCTGGCTTCTCCCATCATTACTTAACAACCTTTCCAAGGGGCCTAATTAAACACGCTATGATATACCATAATTACAACATAACTCACCTCATTACCAGGATCTACCACAATTACAACATCACTCACTTCATTACCAGTGCGACGGGTTCAGAGTTTAATTTTGGTATTGGAGGTGCCGCAGTATCACACGTAGAGACTAACGATTTTGCTGTAGCAACACACGCCCCCGGCGTCCCCTCTCCCGTGCCGCCTACTACATCCAGCGCCACAGCCCTGCTCTTTCTTTTCTTTCCTTTCCGAGACGATAAATAGTTTTCCGGCGTCCGCTGCACCGCGCGAAGCGATAGCACATCGCGCTCGCCTGGGCGTTTCCCTCCCCGCCACCCGCTTCCCAACCCCAAAGACGCCGCGCGCTACTGCTTAAACCCCGGAACCACCAACCAGGGGCAGCGCGCACGCCCATGCAGTGCGAGAGGCAGCGCCCCCACGCCGCACGCGCTGCCACGGACATATCCGTGCTGCCGCGCCCCCAATCCTAACAATCCGCTCGGCTCGGCTCGCCTTCACCATGGTGGCCGGCCGCGTCAAGGCGGCCATGGGCTTCCAGCGCAGCCCCAAGGTGTCCAAGTCGCCGGCTCACGTCGGGCGGACGCCGGAGACTCCTGGCCGGGGGTCATCGTCTGGCTCCCCGGCGCCGGGCGGCTCGGCGTCCAAGGCTGTCTCCTTCGCGCGGTCCTTAGGCGTGCACTTCCCGCGCTCGTCGGCTCAGGTGCAGCCGGCGCGCGCCCCGCCGGAGGTCGCCGACCTGCTGCGCGCCATCGAGCAGCTCCAAGAGAGGGAGTCGCGCCTCCGCGTGGAGTTGCTGGAGCAGAAGATCCTGAAGGAGACCGTCGCCATCGTCCCATTCTTGGAGGCTGAGCTCGCCGCGAAGAGCAGCGAGCTGGAGAAATGCAAGGACACCGCCGCGCGACTGGAGTCCGAGAACATGCGGCTGTGCGCGGAGCTCGACGCTGCCGTGCTGGAGGTGACGAGTAGGAAACAGAGGATTGTTCACATGGAGAAGGAAATGGCGGAGCTGAAGAAGCAACAGGAGGCTGCCGCTGCTGACGCTGACGACTGCTCGTCCACGGCTTCGGTCTCACACGAGCAACCCGAGAGCGCCAGTTCCGCAGCCAATCCCGCGAGTCTAGTTCAACGTGGACCGCCCATTCCACCGCCCCCGCCGCCAGTGCCACCGGCGGCATTCAAGTCCAAGTCCTACTCTGCCTCGTCGCGCGTGTCGCTTCCGAGTACTTCGGCGCCCTCGCCATCTTCTTCCACCTCGACTTCACCAACGTACTCCTGCTCGTCGTCAGACACCGTGACCACGCCAAGAAACCGAAAACCAGAGCTCTCGAAGCTACCGCCCATACCTCCGCCACCACCAATGCCAGCACTCAGCGTTTGCGGCCGCGCAGCCGCGCCACCTCCTCCTCCGCCGCCTCCTCCGGCTCGGAGAACGTCGGGGGCAGCTTCGCCGGCTGCGTCGGGACCGCGCGTGACGAGAGTGCCCGAGGTGGTAGAGTTCTACCACTCACTGATGCGGAGGGATTCAAGATCAAGGGACGGGAGCGGCGGAGGCGAAACCGCCAACGGCGGCGGAGTGGCCGCGACGAGGGACATGATCGGCGAAATCGAGAATCGTTCGGCTCACCTCCTCGCGGTGCGTAATTACTCCTCCTGTTCCTCCCAACCGCACATGAAAAAACCGCATTAAGTTATCGCTAGTGAAGAGATCGCACATTCTTGAAGTAAACATTTTACTGTTAGTAAAGCAAGATTAGTGTTCAACGTTGCTTCGTGAGACCGTCACGTTTAAGGTGGTGGTGGTGGTAGTAGTGGTTCATGTTGGTGGGAGGGGTCATTCTGTGCAATCATGGAAAGAGAGTACATGTGTACAAGTGATTAGGTAGCACAGCGACGATAGTTATTGGTGAGCCTGCATACGCCATGCTGCCGTTCTTGCCGGTACACACACCATCGCAAACCAAAAAAAAAAAAAACAAAGAGTGATATTCGATTATTAAAGTACTGGTTATGGCTCCGTTAGCATGGGCGAGGGCAGGCGATCATCTATCTATCTGCAGGACGAGAGTTTGGTGGCGGTGCTGACAGGAACAGCTGCATGCGCGGAGTCCGGAGAGTACGTGTCAGATTGGCACCGTGGGGCCAGGTGCAAACGCAGTGAATGTGGCATTCAAAGCGTGGTACCGGTTTGCCTAGCTAAATCGAGATTAGATTTGCGACTTACCACGGCCTCGAATTAACCCGGTCATTACTGCGACCGTGTAGTTGTCTCTTTCCCAACTGAATTACTCGTTTTAAGGATGATAGTCGCATTGAATTGGATGGAAAATATTCAGTGAACTGTTTTGCGACTGAATTACTACTCGTTTTAAGGATGATAATCGCACTGAATTGAATGACAAAGAGATGAAAAATATTTAGTGAACTGTTTTGCGTTTCACTGCAGATCAAATCGGACGTGGAGAGGCAGGGCGACTTCATCCGGTTCCTGATCAAGGAGGTGGAGGGCGCGGCGTTCGTCGACATCGAGGACGTTGTCACGTTCGTCAAGTGGCTCGACAACGAGCTGTCGCGCCTGGTACGCACTGTGCGCGCGCGTGGAACGATCACGAGAGGACGTCCGCTACGACGGTGAAACTAACCCGTGCCCGTGGCCGCGGCCGTGCGTGCAGGTGGATGAGCGCGCGGTGCTGAAGCACTTCGAGTGGCCGGAGAACAAGGAGGACGCGCTCCGCGAGGCGGCGTTCGGCTACTGCGACCTCAAGAAGCTGGAAGTGGAGGCCTCCTCATTCCGCGACGACGCGCGCCAGCCCTGCTCCACCGCACTGAAGAAGATGCAGGCGCTCTTCGAGAAGTAAGCCGCTGTACTTACCTGTATGCGTGTAGCTCGATTGGTTGCTCCCTAGCTGGCTCGGTTAGCTCACGTGTATGTGGCGGCTGTCGATGCGGCCAAAATGGCATTGCAGGCTGGAGCACGGCGTCTACAACCTCGCCCGCTTCCGGGACGGCGCCACGGGCAGGTACAGCCGGTTCCAGATCCCGTGCGAGTGGATGCAGCCAGACACCGGCATCGTCAGCCAGGTACCTACAACTTGCTAGCCCCGGCACGTTGTCGTGCCACTTAATTTGGCGGTTCACGCCGAGCGACACCTTAATTTTGGCAGCGTAGCTAGACCAACCCCCCTCGCGGGTGTGACCGTGACGAGCGTTCGTTTCGTTGGTTGGTTCTTTCACATGCGTGCACGAGGCGTATGTACGTAGCCGCGCTCGCGGTGGTACAGCGCAAAGGGAAATTCTAGGTGGATTTGGCCACAAGCCACGGCTGGGGCCTGGGAACCCGGGGACCGGGCCGACGGACGGAGGCGTGGCGTTTTGGTCGCCGCCCTCCGTTGGTGATACGGCGTACGGGCGTGGGACGCGGTGGTGTACGTGCACGTGAGCCTGTGCGGGTTGCATCTCGTGAGCTTGCCTTGTTCTCTCCTCGCGCTGCCCTTCTGTACAACAGCTACAGACACAAGAGGCTCATTACGCCTCGACAGCCGCTTCGTCCTGCGCTGCGTATGTGCGTCAACCGGAACAGCGCGAACGATCCGGATTTGTCAGCGATGCGTATACTTAGCTCAGGCTGAGGAACGTTTCGTCATTTCCATGGTCCAGTGCACCGTGTGGATGTTTGTGTGGATTTGCTGCTTGTGTGTTTCGGCAGGATTTGGAGCCTCACGAGAGAAGCTAAGCTAGTACTACTAGTGTAAAATTTCTTGGATACCGTTTGATCTGAGATCTACAGTTTTGTCACTTCGTTAGATTGTAAGTAGCGAGAACATCTGACAAGTGGATAGTTGTTCTGTTCTGCGGCAGCTAGGTTTGTTTAAGGCTTCTGAAAGAAAAAGATAATTGTCACGTTTGGCTTGAATAAGTTAAGCATTTTCTGATCACTACGTACTGAAAGATGGGGCTCCATGGCTGCTCAGGTGTCAGATTTCCCTCATGCATCTGTGACTGTGAGCATGCATTTGCATTTGGTACCTTTGCAGCTTTGCTGATCAATCGGGACAATTCTTCACCTGTGCACATCTTATCGTTGTAGACTTGTAGAAAGAAGACATGATATGAACTATTATGAAGTTTGTAATTGGCCTATCAGTTTGTAAATTGCACATGAAGTCTTTACATTTACAGTTTATTGCATTCGCGAAAAAACATTTACAGTTTACAAATTGGTAGGAAAATTAGAAACATAAACACATGCCCTCATCAATCTGCAATCACTGAGTTGATTGGTCTGTCCTGTCGTTTGGCCGCTTCATATCCTAACTTTTGAGGCTAACAAATGAAAGCAGTCCTCTCTTTCTCTGAATGATGTCCATTTGATTCATGGGCAAGTAATTTGGGCATATCTGTGATTTCTTTTATCGATAAAATGCATGAATAAACGTGTACGTTTGATGATTACTCATGAATGTAACCTTTGGTGTACAGATCAAACTCCAGTCGGTGAAGTTAGCAATGAAGTACTTGAAGCGGGTCTCTTCTGAACTTGAGGCCATAAAGGGTGGTCCTGACGAAGAAGAACTAATGCTTCAAGGAGTGCGATTCGCCTTCAGGGTACACCAGGTATATATTTACTCGCTAAGATGTTAAGATGCGCATGAATAATTTCTGAAAAGAATTCATGCTTACATTTTCTTCCAAGGTGCAACTTTGAAACGAATCACATCCATACTCCTCGTTTGCTGCAGTTTGCAGGCGGGTTCGACGTGGACACCATGCGGGCATTCCAAGAGCTCAAGGAGAAGGCATCTATGTGCCGGATACAACGACAAGAGCAGAACCGTCATCTAAGGAGGCAGCAAAAACTCGTTGCCAGGGCCTGAGCACCATTTTACTATCCCGATGTATCATATCATTTCGTCGTTACCATAGTTCGTTTGCTTTCTTGCTTGTTTCTGTTGAGAAATGTTCTCACTAGATTTATCACACCAGTGAACAATCTATGTTCTCGTTGTCACTGTAGCCGTCTTTCATTTTTGTCCCCTCCATGTTCTCTCTCTAGGGCCCTATTCCTAACCAGTATCTCGTCAGCTTGGCTGGGTTGTGATTAGCTTTACATAATTTTGCAGCGAAATGTATGTGTGTGGTGGTAGATAAATCTGTTGTCTGGAAATTCTGGTACTACCATATGTAAAGGATTACTGCCAACGGTTGAGATCAACGTTGTGCTTGCCTGCTTGGTATATCTTTATTAAGCGTATTGGATTAGAAATAGTACTACACTACTAGTTGTTTCCAATTTTCCATCCACATCCGAACAACCATCTGTTGTCTTTTGAAGGAGTTGTATCCAGTTGATCCTCGCTGTCTACCCTGGCATTATCCCCAACTTCTCCAACAAGAAGGAAAATGTAGTATCCTCTGATGGACTATCCATATATATCAGTTAACCAATTATGGAACCACCAATTGAAATACTCTCCATACAATCAACCAACAAATTATGAGAGAACGGCCAATCGGATTGAGAGATATATCCCCTTCCAATTCTTTCCCTCTATGCAAGGAGCGAGGCGTACAGGATCTGGTTCCATGCGTCCGGCACGCCGGCGAGGCACCAGTGGCTGCAGTCGTTGCCCGGGTGGCCGCCGCTGTACCCCGACGGGTGCCCGTCCCTCCTCAGCTGCGACAGCAGCGTGATGTCGAGCAGGAACACCGGCTTCGACATGCCGGCGATCGCGCTCCTCACCGCGCTCTGCGCCGGCACCGGCCCCGCCGGGTACGCCGACCCCGCCACCGGCTGCGTCTGCTGCGCGCAGCTCCTCGACCCCTCCCCCCAGTCCGCTCCGCTGCAGTTTCCGGACGTGTCACGGTGTCAGCGTCGTGAGGCAAACTGGGCCTAAAACGGGTGGGTTCATATGGGCTTTGGCCTTTTAAAGGCTACTAGTACTTACTTGTAGTGGGTTGGAGAGATGCCCTGGAAGTAGACCCTGGTCTTGGATGTGTCCACGTTCGAATCGACCCATCTGGCCCATGTAGACATCCCCTTGGAGAAGGCCGAGAGCCGGTCCATGTCCTTCATCACCTGGCCTCCATCTTGCACAAAGTCCCATCTGGATACAGAAAAGAATCAGAATAAACGTGACGGATCAGATCAGGCCATGATAATGTGACACGTATAGTTTGTGGTCTTACGGCTGGTCTCTGCCGGTGTGGGTCCACCAGTGCCAGGTGTTGAAGATGAGCATGTCGGCGCCGAGCCACGCGTCGCCGGAGATGGAGTCGAGCTTCAGCACGCGGCCGATGGACTCGTCGACGATGTCCACCAGGTAGGTGCTCCGGTAGTACGCCACCGACACCCCGTAGTCCTGCACGCATGTCACGACACGCGCACGTTAGCTGCCATTCCAGCGCTCGGAACCCACACTTGTTCCGGTCGATCGATCTGTCGATCTCGACACGGGATTTTTCTCAGCGTCGTGCAAATACGGCAACGCCTGTAGATAGCCGCATCGCATCTGGTATATACAGTACGTTACTACTGTAGAACGTAACATGCACAAAGATCCAAATCCGTCGGCGCCCTTACGGTGGACTCGGCCCATCCTTGTCTGCATCGGCGGCTGCTTGTGCATCTCGCTGTCCAGGAGGAATAATGAATGGGCAGGTGCGATGTCAACAACTCAACATGCCACCGCGCGCCGTAGCGATGGCCGGATATACGGGGCCAAACGGCGCGCGGGCACGCATAGAACCGCGCGCTCCGTGGTGGTTTCCTTTCCCTTAGAGCAGGTACAATAGCAGGCTATAAGCCAGCTGCAAACATATTTTAAGAAGATAAATAAGGAGAGAGAAGAGCAGTGGGCTACAGATTTGTACTCAGCTGTAGTACGAACTTCAAGATATATGACAGGTGAGATCAGTTAGCTATTAGATTGGCTATAAATAAATTGGAGCTAGCAGTTGGCTGTACTATTAAACTTGCTCTTATCTTTGAGCGGCTCCAGTACCCGTAGCTTTTGCACATATTGCGCAAAACAGAGTGATGGCAAATTGGGCCCGTGAAACGGCAGACCATATGCTAGTCGCATGGCATTCGCCGCGGGCAATCATTAGCACTTGGTACCCACCAGAGTGGACATGCCATTTGCTGTTGGGTTCATAGTATGTTCTAATCTGTAGTACTCCCTCCGTCCCAAAATACCATGGTTTTCCGCGTCCAACTTTAACCATTTGTCTTATTTAAAAAAATTTAAAAAAATTAAAAACATAAGTCACGAGTAAAGTACTATTCATGTTTTATCATCTTATAACAATAAAAATATTAATTATAAAAAAATTTCAAATAAAACAGACTATCAAAGTTGGACACGGAAACTTATGGCTGCATTTATTTCAGTACGGAGGTAGCAGTTGCTCACAGCCATGAGGCCATTGGCATGAACGAGCAGAGCCTAGTACACTCTGCTGGCTAGTACGAAGTGGTTGAGTTGTGGAGATCAACCGCAGTGCTTGCTAGTAGTCGACGTCTGTTGCAAGGAACCGGCTCCCGAACGATCGGACGGCTTTAAACGAGCTCTCGATCTTCTTGAGAGTTTTAATGCGTTGCCTAATTTGTTGGACCAAACCGTTTTGGTTAACGATATAATAGAATGTACAGTTATATGGTTGGTGGCACTAGCTAGCTTTGTGAAAATAATTGTAATTGTGAGACGAGCCGTGTTATGCACCTATTTATATTAAGCTGCCCAAAAAGGACATCATGAAAGCAGGAGTACTATCCAACCCCGACTGGATAAGATCAGAAGAAGCATGAACCCGTATGAACTTTGCTCTTTATTTACAACTTGGTTTCGGAGTTGAATCTCTCTGTTGATTCTAGGAATAACATGGACAGAAAACCCACAGCAAAAGTGCAAAAGTTAAGTTTTGTACAGTAGTACCTCAAATCGAAACTGACACATCCTAAGCTCGTGTACAAAACATGGGAATTGCAGATATCCTCGAAAATTGGTTTCTTACAGAAAAAGTTCCTCGAAAGTAACAATTGCACATTCCAACCTTAGATGTACTTGTACAATCCGACCATCCGAGCAAGTTGGCCCATTGAGTAATCCACGCTACAGAATACGTGCAGCGACCTTAAGGTGTCAAGGTACTACACGAGATTTCTGCAAACTGGTCACTCCCTAACCATCGATTACTTTGATAGACCGACTAACAAAAATGTGACTAGCGAACACAAATCTAATCTACCAGAGGACTTTCGCTTCTCACGTGCCGATGATTGTCTCGACCCCACTGGAATCTTTTTTCTTTGTCCCCAAAAAAAAAGGGAACAGGTACTGCATTTGGAGAACAGTTTGACTCTTGCCAGTGTATCGAGATCACGGGACGGGGTAAGAAGACCGATTAGAAAAACGTCAAGCTTAAAAAGGGACCGGAAGGAGACGGCGGCGATTCACTGGTCGGATAAGGACGCGCACGACGCTCTGCGCTGTCTCCCATGGCGTCCGGTTCCCACCGCCCCCAACCCCCCACGGGAGCCAACCAGCGAGCAAAACCAACCCACCCACGATACGATTTCCCCCGTTTCTGCCGCCCCGCCATCGCCAACTCGCGGTCGCGCGCGCGCAGGCGCAAGCCATGTGACGCGCAAGCAAGCGCGCGCGCGCGTTGGGACGGGCAGGCAGGCAAGAGCTAGTGGGCGGAAACGGCACTAGCGTTAGCGTACACTATTGCCTCGCCGCGCGAAGACGAAACACGCCGCGCGCTCCGGCGGGCAGCGGCCGGGGGGCACCAAAAGGGTATATAGCACGAGTGCGCGAGACAATCCGACCTCTTTTCTGAAAGCGTGTGGCTGCCCATTATGGGGTCATAATTTAAATAGTAAGCTTGCGGCCGTTCCCTTTCGCCAAAAAGGTTTACTACTGCTACACTTGGAAGATGGAATGTCTGAGCCGTGCCAGGGAGTTAGATCTGCCTCGCCAAAATAAATGAGAAAAGAAAAGGAACTGTACCGAGGTGGTAGTACTTTCGTTTTGTGCTTACGCTATGCAAGGGACGGCAAGAGGACAACTGATAGTAGTAAGAAGTACCATATGTGGGCAAGGCGCATGTACGTACCTGGAACGTGACGGTGGAGAACGGGGTGCCCCTGCTGTAGGTGGTCCTGGAGGACGGCGCGGCCGCGTGCAGCATGCACGCCAGCGACTCCCACTGGTTCAGGCTGATGGAATCCCCCACGAACAGTATCTTCTTCCCCCTCCATTTGCTGAGGAAATCCAGCCCGTTGAACCTGCAGTGCCAATGGTCGATACGCCATTAACGCAAACCGCTGCAGCTAGCTCGGTCGATCGATCAATTGGGCGCTCTCGCGGTCGCGGCTGCGTATGTTACCTCGGGAGCTCGCACGAGCTGGGACGCCACCGGTACTTGAGGTAGAGCTTGTCGGGGCGGCCGTACTTCTGGCAGTCGAACTCCGCCTCCACGAAGGGGCAGCCCGCCGTGTCGTACATCGGCAGCGAGTCGTCGTACACCCAGCTTCCCTGGAACATGTTGCACGACGCCAGACCGCTCCGGGCGGAGCCGCCGCCGCGGCGCCGGCCGGCCCCGTGCTGCCCCGTGGTGTTGCGCTTCGGGCTGCCGAAGTGACGCCGGACGCCGAGCGTCTCGACCACGCTCGCCACGGCGCCGCCCGCGAGCACCGAGCACGCGAGGGCGGTGGAGGCGACGAGGAGGAGGACGAGGCGGCGGAATGACAGCCGCTGTCTTGGCGCCATTGTCTGGCGCTGTGGAGATGAAGGGTGACGAACTGGGGACGGACGAGGGGAGGCAGTGAGCCAGTGACGACCTTTTATAGAGCTCTTCTAGTACAAGTTGATAACTGACCAGAGCTATTATTTAATCTTATAAACTTTATTATTAGTATTACTTTATTATCTGATGAAACAAGGAACTTATTAGTGCACCTTATAATTATACTTCCAAACTTGCTGTGCATGTGGTCTACCGAATTAGAAACCTTCTATTTCAGATTTTTTTTAAAAAAAATAAGGGAGAGAAATGGATGCAAATATGAAGCTGGATAGCCTGGATGCTCTGTTTTATTTCATCTTCGAAAGAAAAGGAAATGCTTTATTTTAGATAAAAACTGTATAATTGGAAAGTATAAAAATGACTTGAAATAGCGAAATAGTTGGTATTGATGCTCTTATTTATAGTTAATTATTTTTTTTCAATGGTAGGATA